GATGAAAGAAACGAGAAAAAATGTCAAAAAAAAAAAAAAAAAAACTAATACATGTTAAAAAAAATCCACTCATGCTCGTCTAACAATTACGAATGTACAAAGATTGGCGTGTTACTAAGTGTTGTAAAAATTTTAAAGATACAAACAGTGAATATTCCTGGCCAGGAGACTGGAAGAGGGCGGGGGCTTGAAATTTTCTATGTGTTAACATATGCAGTTTGTTTGGGGTTTTCACCAATCCGAGGGGACATGTACAGGCAAACCTATTTCGTTGCAAGAGAAGAAAAAACAGGAAATTTTAGTAAAATAAGCAACATAAATAAAAAGATGAGTTTTTTGTTTATACTATCAGTTGAAAAAAGGAAAAAAAAAACAAACCTGACTCGTGTTCGATAAAATTCCTTCACGAGGATAAACTTTTTCCGTTTCTGTTACAGGCACAAGACGCAGGAATTTCCTGCCAGACACCTATAATTGCTCTAATTATTGGGAAGTCCGTGCGATTATTTATGGCCAAAATTCACTGCTTTTCATGCATTTGCATTTCAACTACTTTAAGTAACGCAAAAACATCACTAGCGCAGAATTTCGGATATCGGATAAGTAGGCAGGAATGAGATAAGCAAAGCCGATAACACGGAAATAGAAATATTACGCCGTAATGCCAATGAGGCTCAAGCAACAAACTTCGCCTTTTCCCTACCCTCCCCCTCCTTTCCCCCGTTTCCTCCCAGCCTCTTTTGTAGCTCGTCCCGCCTGCCAACCTCATCAAGCTCTCCAGGAAGTAAGAATTTATGTAACATATAAAAAACACTTGAAAATACTCACCTGGCAAAATATATTACTCTTTGGATCGGTGTGTAATGGCGATACAGTTCCAGCTGGTCCAATCCAAATATTCATATCCACATTATCGAGTCCACCTTCTCCAAACGCAAAATAATCAGGAACGACAATGTCTTGCAACAGTTCAGGAATTTGGTCGAACAACCGATGCTGCGCCAAATAACCTGGACCATCCGAACTCTGTAAAAAGTACCAAAAAAAGGAGTAACAAAATAAACAAATATGAAAAGCCTGGTATAAAAAGTACAGAAAATTGCTGTGCTTTCTAAATTCTGGATAATTTCTTGAGCTGTTTCAACAAATCCCAGCATCAACTTGTTCCTAAGCATCTTTCGAAAGAGGGGGCCATCGACAGCCTTGTGAGCGAGTGATTGCTGTTGGCACTTATTACCCCTCGGAATACTTCTAAGTGTCCCCCCCTCCCCTCCCCCTTCCTCGCCCTCCCTCCTCAAAAAAAGTAACGATTTTTGACCTTAATAAATGAGGCAAACTTTTTCAAAAAGAAGATTATTTCCTGAAATTTTAAAAGAATAGCGGACCATGCAATTCTGGGAACTGGAGAATTCACAGGCCAATCCGATTTAATTCTCAAAATCAAGAAATTTTCGAAAAAACGGAGACTGTTATAGCCGGAACTGAGAGTTACCTCATTTTCAATAAATTTCTCAATAAAATCGCGAACTGACATCAATATTTGTTTACAGCTACTATCGGCATAGCTAGTTCCAACTTCCACTGGCACCGTGCGATATCCAGCAACATCATTGATATATGAAATGCTAGAAAATTACAGATGAGAGGCATGAGAGCCTTAACAAAGCAACTAAAAATATTCCAAAAAGTTCAGTGGTAGAGATGAATAAATATGGAAAAACTTCAATAAGATAACCAACAAGTTCCTTTTAAAATGGCAAAATGAGGCACTGTGCTGATACCGGTTCTGCCGTCTGTGTTTACAGCTCAGGGATGAAACACAAACAAGCTACCAATCCACTGTACATACAGGCTGGCTTATTTAAGAGACCTAAATAGCACTTCCAGTGCTTTCATTAATTATCAAAATTCGATTTTGTTTCTCTCCACTGTGAGCCAAGAATGCCAAAAAAAAAATGCATATGTTAACACACAGACGATTTCAGGCCCCCGTCCTCTTCCAATCTTTTAGCCAGGGATATTCATTGTTTGTATCTCTAAAATTTCTACAACACTTAAATAAAACGAGGACAATGACCACACTATCTACCAGAAAAAAACGATTTGAACAAAAACTTTTTAAAATTTGCAATTGCGGAAGCACCAATCACTGAAAATCCCAGTCTTCAGTGTCCTCATTGCAGTCTAGAAGTGGCAACGTTTTTGAGACAGGAGGTGATGATGCCCAGTATATACCAACAACCTCTCAAAACGGTTAAAAGCTTATCAAGGTGCTTCTGCTGAACGCGGAGGTCAAAACAAAAACCACGACCGCTCAAAAACTGGCAAATAAATTATGCAGCACTGATCAAAGCAAGCGGAAAAATTACTAGCTCTACAGCTATAAAAGCACGTTATGAATTACAGTGACACCATGAAGTTACTGAAACTAACACTGTTTCCACAAGAGAAAGTTATAATAAGAAAGAATCAAACAAAGAGGAAAAAGGAAAAGAAAGATGACAAATGAAAATTAGAAAATTTGTGAGATTATTGTAATATTTAAGAAGTATTTCGGTCCATTAAGTCATATTCATTTCTTACCATTACCACAGCTGAACTTCAAAAAACATCTCTTTTTTCCGTTAATATCTCTATTACAACTGACTTCAAGAAAGAATGAACATAAGGATGAAGAGAATATCAATACTTTTAAAATGTCATACTTCCATTTCTCAAACGCTGGCCATTTATTGACAATTCCTTTTATTATGAACGGTTTTTGTTCTTTCATAAGCCGCAGCATCTTCTCAAGCGATGGACAATCGTAAGCAATCACAGGAATTGAATTTGACAGTGCACATGGTACTTCAACTAGCTTCGATGGCTGCAAGAAATAGGGCAAAAATCAAAACCTCTACAGTTCACATCCACTGAATAACAAAGATACATTGAAGATTAAGCG